AGTGAGGTCCAGTGCGTAAGTTTTGGGGTTTATGGGGGGCTTAGGCTCGGGCCCTAAAGTTTGGAGGAGCCGGACCCCAAGGGAAGAAAACCTTCTCAGACAGCTCGCGACACCTTCAATTTAGCGGTTCAGACGAGCCCTAAACCCTGTTTGGGGTCCGACCGCAGCCCCAGACAGCCTTTCCTTGAGAGTATATAGGCGGGCCGACCCTGATGATGTGGACACCATCGATGCACTGTGCTGGGCTCAGGAACGCTGGCCCCGAAAGTCATGAAACCCGTAGAAAATCCTTGAGCTACGGTTGATGATATAAATCCTGCATTACCCAGAATAAGGACTATACCATACTTCCTATGGTTTAGGGTCCTGAGGTAATGCAGGATTTATACTATCAATCGTAGGATCCCTGGCTTGTTGCTGATGGGGTCTTTGTACGGGTGGCTGGAGATCAATTGCCGAGTTGTACCTGGTGAGGACGTGTTGAAATCGGAACCCTCTTTGCGCCCCGACCAAGGATCCCAGCTATACTTGTAGGAAGAATAGAGTTGAATGAGTTTGATTCTTTTGCATTTGTTGATTTCTCAATCAGGCTTCCCAAATTAAGGCGAACTTTTCAGCCGAGAGCGCTGCATCCCAGGATTTAGGGTTTACAACTCTGATCCCCGGAGCCAAGCCCGAACCTCCAAAGCCTTTTCCGAAGCCAACAGAAAACCGATCCATCGTAGGTTTGGGGTTCAGGGTTTAGGGGTTAGGGGTTCGGGGTTTAGGTAGTGCCCTGATTATAGGAACCATACCGTATTCAGGCAGAGCAGGAACGGCAAGGGAGACGCCGGGGAGAGACCAAGGATGCGGAGGAAGGGTCATACCGACCTGAGAATTCGTATCCTTCTAGATTCCTACTATGCATTGCAACTATAGCCCAAGGTACGACCGGCTCTATGGCGATGGCAACTTCTCAGACGCTTTGCTGCCATTTCTTCCCCAAAGGTTTCGGACATCCCAAAACTGCAACCGCGGTAGTTCGTAGGCAGCTTCCTCCATTGGGCTTCAAGGAACAGGGGTTTCAGTAGCGGGCGTTCGAACGTTCTGCGGCCATCATTCTTGCAGTCTCCGGCCTCAAGCCTTTCGCCTCACTGGGCTCCTCCAGTAAACCAGTTGCAGATTGAAGGTAGCAGGTAAATAGCGGCTGCATGTTCTGGTTTCTTAGGGGCTTGGGGTGAGGCTCTTGGCGTGAAGGATCCTGTAGTTTTCATCATCCTCAGAGTCAGGTAAGAGCCAAGCGAAACGGATACTTTATTATAGTATATTACAGTATATATTATAGTATATATTATAGCATATATTATAGGATATATTATAGTATATATTATAGTATATATTATAGTATATGAGAGCAGAAGACTGGAAGGCCTCTATCGAAACTTGGATATGACGAGGCCCAACCCTGTATGCCCTAAGCTCTAGGCACAAGCCGTCAGCCCCAAGCCCGAAACTGAAACCCCCCCCCGATTCCCACCCAGAGAGGCCTATAGTATCCCATACCTTAGAGCTGTACTTCGGCTTCTGATACGTCTGTAATTCGGCTTCTGATGCCTCGTGCTTTTAAAGCATTTAGCTCAACTAAGAGCAGTCGAGCCAGAAGCAACGAACCTTTTCTGATCCCCAAGCTTTTCGCACTTTCAAGGAGGCCCTCGCCATCTTCCACGCAGTGGACAAAGGTCGCGGGGGCGGGGAACGGGGGGCAGTGGGAGAGGAAGGACCGGGGATGGTTGACATAACAATAACATTAGACGTTAATGATAATGATAGTAGTAATGATACATCCCAACATAATGTTTTGGGCTGCTTGAGAGATCGAGATCCACGATTTTTGGGTTCAGGGCGTGAGGTCGCAAGCAGAATCCCATCAGCCGACCCGTCGGGGGCCGTGAGCATTTAGGGGGCGCCGAACACTCGCAGTGAGGGCTATGTGTTGAGATTAAGGCATGTTAAGGCAGGGTGTAGGGCGTTAGGATTGGTTGCTGCATGTTATACTTCGGCAAGATGTGGGCCAATGTAGGGTTCCGGAGTTTCGGACATGTCGGAGGTTGCAGAACATAGGGGGACCTCAACAGACAGATCCCCCAGTGGCCGGGAACCATCCGGAAGTTGAGGGAACCCGAGTTGATGAAGCTCCCTGCACCTGGTGGTCCCGGCACCTTCGTAAGGACCCTGACTCTTCGGCTTCGTAGGGCCCGGTGTGAGCTTCACCTGAAGAGCACATCTCGGATCCCCCCTAAAACCCAGAGTTTTAGGATCCCTTGCAAGAGGATCCTATCCCTAAACTTTCTAAACCCTTGTAGGACCTTCGTACTACAAGGGTTTCAATCAGGATCTCCCCAAGAAAAGGCCTGCCCCGTTGGCCCCTGGCAGGCTTCCTGACCAAGCAAGACCTCCGGGTGAAGTTTTTGCTGTCCCTGGTAGAGTGGGAGCCCCAGAAGCCGAGGCAGATTTTAGCAGATTTAAGGTTTAGGGTTTAGGGTTTCTGCAAGCCGATTGTTTATTGGGGTCCTTGCAAACAGGACCCTGCTGCTTCAAGTTCCATTTGTCGGCCCCCTTCTTTTCGTAAACTTCCGTTTCAGCTTGGAAGAACATGAGAAAATGGGTGCAGGGCTACGCATCTGGTTTTAGAGTCTGTCTACATGGGTCTGATCGCGGCCAGAACCTGGTTTGGGAGGTTCGAGGGCTCCGGGGGGTCACTCTGCCGAGCCCAGTCTTTTGGTCTTAGCCTTCAATGGTTTGTGTTGGAGGATAGCTGGCTTCGTTGTGCCACCCTAAATCTTAAACCCTCAACCCTAAACCCTAAACCCGAAACCCTAAACCAGTAAAGGGTGGCCGGCTTGGCAGACAAGAGGGTTCGGATTGACAGTTGGAGTTCTTGCTGTGGAGCTGACAGTTTTCCGCTCCCGTCGGGGTCACTTCTCATGTCCAGGAATTCGTGGCTTTTACAGATGACAGGCCTGATTACGTCGTGAAGATTTAGGATGGCGTGGAGGGCATGGAGACTTAAACCCTAGCCCTAAACCCTAAACCCTTAGGCTTCGTGCAAGACTTTCGGCGAAGCCTTCTTTGAGCCGCTTCTGAGTCCAAAAATCCCCAAAGAGTGCCAAGTCTGCGCGGGAATGCCGAGAAGGGTTTAGGGCTTGGGGTTTAGGGTTTAGGGTTTTAGGATAAGACATCCCCAAACCCTATTCTGAGTACAAAGACCCCTTGCATTCGCGCTTAGGGTTTCTGATTCAGGCCGCAGGGTTCAGGGCGCCGCGAAGCCCTGTCTTATCGTAAACCTTGGACCCCATACCTTTGGACCCTTAACTTGCAAAGCCGCACGCATACATCTAATTACACGCTGGACCGTCGAATCGTAGACCTCAATCTCCCCGACATTAAGCAGCTGCTTCAAAACCCCTTCACCTCAAAGCACGACACCCAACTCTTAAATCGTCAGCCATACAACCCCTCAATCCCGTCCTGCCTCCCTACACCCCAAAGTCTATATAAACCCTAAACCCTAAACCCGCAGGACTTCTTTCATGTCCGTCACCGTGGAGGACGAGGAGGGCCACGTCGTCGGCTTCGCGGTCTTGGACGCCGGGGCACTCGGACGCGAGATCTCCAGCATAATATCGGGGCCTTAATAATTAGAATAGGGTTTAGGGTTTAGGGTTTATGATCTAGGGGCCCTAAGAAGCCCCCAAAAGCCCTGTTCTACTTATTTCGGCCCCTACATCAGTGTGAAGCGATCAGGGTTTAGGGTTTCGGGGGTTTCAGGGGGTTTCAGGGTGCTTCGGGCTCACTCTTTTTTTTTTTATCAATATATCAGTTTTGGACTTAGGGTTTAGGGGGTTTAGGGGTTTAGGGGTTTAGAGTTTTGAAGGGCGGGCTTCTTCTTTTAGGTGCAGGGACCAAGGTTGGCAGACCTTTCGGGGTGAAAGAAAGCGGTGACTTCCGGGCCCCTGAAGGCCTCTAAACCTTCAGGGTTTAGATGAGAAAGAGCTGAGACAACCCTAAACCCTAAACCCCTGAAAGGTTTTGAAGGGTTCTAAACCTTCACGGGCCCAGGGTTTAGATGAGAAAGAGCTTAAGGGCGAGGGCTTGAACTGCTCCCGCAGTTTGTGGAGTGGGGGAGAAACGCATACCGGAACCCGGGACCCCCGTCTCCTCGACCGTCATCCTGCTACCAAGATCACACCCACAAAGCAGGAAGGAGGTTACAAGACACCGGACCGTAGAAGGAGATGTTTCCTTAAATCCGAAACCCCCAAAAAGCCGTAATGCCCCGAGACCCTCTCGGCCCCATGCGCCAGACCTTAAAGGGTTTAGGGCTTAGGGTTTAGGATCAAGAAGAAGACAGCCCTTAGCCTATGTCTACAACACCAAGCCTTCTGGTCCTCCAGCCCCGCCGGAGCAGCCATGCAGCGTCGACCAAGCATCATGATAAAAGCTTTCATATGAGGGGCCCGAAACCCTAAACCCTAAACCATAAAACTCCTTGGGTAAGCGTTTCTAGGACTCCTTCCAAAATTGGTAAGTGTACGACCTACTCCACTGAAACAAGCGCACCTATTCGCGAGGACACGCCACTCCACCTCTCCGCCTCAGAGGCACGTGGGCTCAGCAATAGGGCGCCACAACCACAAAACCCTAAACCATGACTTTGATTCCTGAGCCGCAATCCTCCCAACTGTGAAACTACTTGTTACTACGCTGCGGCCGCGTATATCCTTGTAGTTCGGATTTCATTCTCTTTTCCTTCGTAGGCAAAATCCGTGCCTCAGCTTCCGGTAATGGCATGTTCTTTCAATCCCAGGATCCAGGAAAGCCCGAAAAGCCCGAAGACTGGCGTCCCTGGTTAGCCTGATGAAACCCTACAGGGGTCGCCTCGCGGCCTCGATCTGGCTTGGCTCAGGAAAGGGAAAAAAAGACGGTCGACGGTAGCCCCTGTACCCGCCCTAGTGTGCGCAATGGCTGTCGACGTGGCAACCCCCTTTCCGAATCCAGTTCCGACTGCCGACTCGGGACCAGCCATGCTGAAAGGTGCTCCATGGCTGGATGCCAACTGGCCGTACATCAGCACGTTTCTGTGTCCCATCTTCTTCCTGCTGCCTTTTGCCTTGAGTAAATCTCCCCGACAAGCTCTTCAGAACCCGTATGTCCTGGGATGGATGACGGTGGCATTCTACTGCTGGCACCAGACGGAGGAGCATGCCCACGACCTTCGTGGATGGCGGTATTCCTTCGTCCCAAACTTCAATCACAGTGTGGGGGCCCTCGTCTTCAAGAGTTGCGAAACTATCGGACACTTGAGCTGCCCGCTGAATACCCGCATAACTCTTTACGTCAACGTCTTTGTGGTGTGGGTGGGATTCGTTGCAACCATGATCTCTGCCCACTACCTAGGCGGACCTTATGCTTTCGCAGGACGCTGCAAGAAGCCATGGGTTTCGTAATAGACCATGAAACCCAATCCCACCAGCGGAAGCAACCCTTGAGCAGTAGCACCGATTATGTGTGAATTTCAACACGAAGAAGGCTGCCAGTCGTAACCGGGACAAATAAAATAGTAAAGCACACGTCGTGAAGCGTGATCACGGCGCTCACCGACCATCACATCCACATCATCATCATCATCATCATCGTCGTCATCGTCATCTTCATCGTCCTTGTCCTCCGCCCTCTCCTTCTCCGCCGCCTCCTCCTCCTCCTCCTCCTCATGATCATCATCACCGCCGTCATTTTCATCACCTGCAGCATCGCCATCACTATCGCAACTGCACCACGATCACCATCGCCATCACTGTCAGCATCACCATCACTACCATCCTCCTCATCACCATCATCATCACCACCACGAACATGGTCATTACCATCACCATCACCATCACCGTCACCGTCACCAGCATCATCAGTATCATCCTCATCCTCCTCCTCCTCCTCATCATCATCATCCTCATGATCACCATCACCGGCATCATCATCATCATCACCATCCTCCTCCTCCTCCTCATCATCATCATCATCATCCTCATGATCACCATCATCGGCATCATCATCGTCATCATCATCATCATCTTCGTCATCATCATAATCATCATCATCCTCATCCTCATCCTCCTCATCCTCATCATCATCTTCATCATCTTCTTCTTCATCATCATCATCATCCTTATTCTCATCCGCATCCTCCTCCACCTCCTTCTCCTCCTCATCATCATCATCATCATCACCATCATCACCACCACCATCATCATCATCATCAATGATGTCATCGTGAGCTCAAGTGGTCAGGGCGATAGCAGCGACGCCGAAGTTACTACAACAAATCGCAGGACTCGTCAACTGGGGCATGAGCGTTGTGAATGCTTTTGGGGGCCACCTGATTCCATTCCTTTTCATGGGCTACAACCCTGGTGCTTTCCAGCGCCGTGGTTCTGCAAACTCAGAAGTCTCGTTGGCGTGTTTTGCCTTTAAAAGTGTGGTCAGCAGCTTGTGCGATTATCAGCAGCACCAAAGGAGCATTTTCATGTTTCTCTTCGGCATCTACGCCATCTCACGTGGTGGAAGGCGTCTTGCAGCAGCCAGCATCGTCAACGGTGTCCTCTTCCATATCATCACATTCGGTGTCGGCACGCAGCTAGGCTTAAGGGCTCCGTTTTCTCCTTTCACGCGCAGTGCGGAGTAGTTCAGTTCAGTGATGTGGCATCTTTTGTTCATGTTCGATCGGCTTGATACTGCTTGACACGGTGTCACCGTCGCTGGAGAAGCTGCCATTGATGCGATCGTCTTTCTGTGGCAAGCACACCTGCTTGTACCTGTCTTGCACATGCAACAAGGAATCTGGTTCTCGTCGCCCACTGGCCAGAAGAGCTGATGCTTGTGCTGAGTGCCTTGGTCGCCCGTTCCTTCACCGGCTTGTGGGAAATAGCAGCGGGACGCCGTCGAGGGTGTCATAAGAGATGGGTTTGGACACATTCAGCTTGCCCGTCTCCATCAAGTTTGGGAGCAGTCGAAACCCGCCTTAAAGGCTTTCCCATAAAGCTGTACGTGCAAGGCGTCGTCGGCACTTGGCCCATGCCTCTTCTTTTGGCGCGCCACTTTGCGCCAAAGCAGTATGACAAGCTGGAGGCCATGATGAGGGTTGGGCTCTTGGAGGTTAAGATTGCATCGGGCTTTGGGCTTTCGGGTTCTAGCATTTGAACACACCACCAGGGGGCTTACACTTCAACGCGGCATCCAACCCCAAAGACCCAAGACCCAACCAATCAAGACACCCAAGCCACAGCCTCAAACCCCAAACCCAAGGCCTGAAACCTTTCAGCATGCACAGCCTAAAAACTTCAACCCTCAAACCCAAAGGCCTTGAACCCTAAACTCCAAAGAAGTCCCAACACCCTAAACCTAAACCCTAAACTTCCCTAAACCCTCAAAAAAAAGCCCCAACACCCAAACCCGGAACTCCACTAGCAACAACCAAAAGCCTTCCTCTAGGACCTGGACGACTCCGAAAACGAGGAGTCACCGTGAGATGAAGCGCATCCTGCTGAGCAGACCTGGAGGTTTCCAGTTCATTTGGAGATTCGGGTCTTGGGGGGTTTTTAGGTTTTAGGGTTTTTAGGGTT